CCACATATTCCCTAAAAAATATTATTCAAAACAATAATTTTTAAAATTTTAAGAATGTCAAATAGGGACTAAATTATAATGGCAGTAAATTCCATAATGCAACGTAAATTTGTGGATAAAATAAATATACTAAAGTAAAATAATTACTTTTACCCAATATTCTAAAATGCGTAATGCGTTGCGATGCGTCGAGACTAAAAATCAAGAATCACAAGTTTATGCGTGTCAATGCGAAAAATAAGCGCCATAATGCGTTTTGTATTTTTAAGGCATTAAATATATTTTTATATAAAAAATAGATTTTTTACCAAAAAAAAAAGGCGGGATTAGGCGCGTGCGCCGCCTTTTAGAACAAAAACGCATTTTTCCACGTATACCCAAATTCGACGCGTTTTCTCCCCGCGTGGCGCCTAGGCGGGGCATTTGTGCGCATTTTAGAACATGGGTATTTATAGAGTCTAAAATAAGGGTTACAATTGGAATGAAATAAACTCTCTAAACTATATAAGATTTATCAATATATTATGATAATACTAAATAATCATCAATAATTATCTCATTATTATACAACAAAATCATAAATTTTATGAGTCACGTCTTATTTCTCGATTACAAATTATCAAATTAATTAGTCATGTATCATTTCTCGATCACAAATTACAAATTTTATAGATCACGGATTATCAAATTAATAGGTCGTGTATTATTAATCGATCACAAATCACAACTTTTATGTGTCATAAATAATTTATCGGTTATAGATTATCACATTAATAGGTCACGAATTATTATTCAATCATAAATTACAAATTTTATAAGTCATAAATTATCAAATTAATTATTCGCGATTATTTCTCGATCACAAATTATTAAATTAAGTTGTCAAAATTTAACAAATTGTTATTCACGATTACAAATTTAATCGAAATTTCACATTTTTAGGTCACATATTATTTGTTTGTCATAAATTAACAAATTTATTAGTCACGGTTAACCAATTAAATTGGTAACAAAACCCACCCTAAAATCACTCCAAAACCAGATCCAAAATAAGAGCCACTATCGTCGTTGCCAAATCCACCACCACCAACAAAAAAAATAGCAACCACACCACAGCACAACAACCACTATCACCACCACCTTTACCACCACTGACACTTCGCTGTGATCATCGTCGTACGATGCTCATAGCGGCACTTTGAACAACAAAGTGCCACTGCAACTGCTGCATCAACGTCGGTTACGAAAAAAGACGGAGTTCGATGGGAGGTAGAGAGCAAGGGCGGACCCACATGGGGTCATGTGGGGTCAAATGACCCAACAATTTTTGTTTTTATTATTTTTCTTTTTTTTAACCTATCACTTACCACTTATCCAACAGCAGCCCAATCCACAACTCACAAGCNTATTTGTTTATTTATGTATTGAATTTTTTTTTAACACGCGTGGAGAAATATTTTAAACGAAAATCCGTATATTCGAGTGTGGAGGAAATTATTGTTGAAACGAGTGTTCAAAAAGAAAAAGATGGTCGGGAAGAATCAGATATTGGGAGAAAAAGAGATGTTTAGAATAAAATTGATTTAGCACAACTGTCTTCGAATCCTGGATTAAGAACTCCAATTGTGAGTTATAATGTTAATGTTCAGGATGAAATTAGAAGAGCATATGTACAAAGTGGTCTATGTTAGCCTCGAAATCACTTGTGTCCACAGAAAAAATTTGGAGATTTGTCGTTAAGACGATTTAAAACTTCTTGGTTTAATGACTTTCCTGATTGGTTGGAATATAGTATAGCAAAAGATGCCCTATTTTTCTTTTATTGTTACCTTTTCAATCCAAATCGTGAAGAACATGGTGGGGTGATTCTTTTGTTGATGGAGGGTTCTCAAACTGGAAAAAGAAAGGAATGTTTCAAACTCACGTTGGGAAAAGTGGTAGTGCACACAACCAAGCACGGATTAAGTATGAGGCTTTTGTGAATCATAAACAAAATATTGATTGTGTTCTCTTTAAGAAGTCGAAAAGATCGAAAGATGAGTATCGAATTCATTGAATGCGTCAATTGCGTTCGTCTGCAACGAAGATTGTCAAGAATCGACTGCGTAGTCGGATGGTAGATCAATGGTTAAGTGATAGTTTAGTTGCGTATATTGAAAACGATGTACTTAACAATATTGATAACGATGTAATTATACGACGTTTTCAGAGTTTGAAAACGCGTATGCTACAATTGTAGTAGCGCGTTGACTTATTTTCATTAGTGATATGTAGTTCTAAATATTTTTGAATTCTCATTTTTGACCCCACAAGACAAATGGTCTGAGTCCGCCCCTGGTAGAGAGTATAGTAGAGAGAGAGAGAGAGAGAGAGAGAGAGAGAGAATGGAGGGTTTGAAATTGTTGTAAAATTACTTCGATGATTTTTAGGATCTGATGAAGACGATGATGACATTGGAGATCTTCCATGTGCACAGTGCAACGATGAGCAGCGGTGATCTTCCAATGACGATTATGGTTTAGTGTGAGGGAGAGGGTGGAGAGAGACTGGAGAGTAAGAAGTGATGATTAGGGTTTGGATTGGATGGGGTGTGTGGGTGGGTGGGTGTATAAATTAATTTATAATATTATCTATTATATTAAAAAGTGAAATTATCATATGATTTTGTATAAACAAATTTTAAACGTGATTTTTGAAATTGGAACTTAAAAAATATGCCTCCATGTAATTTCCACAATAATGAATTATTTAGATCCCCATGACAAGTAGGGTTAGGCTACAGTTAGTTTAGCGAAAATTACATAAAAACAAGAGTTTTCAAGATTCAATTTCAAATTTCAGACATTAGGTTTCACTTTTCAAAAATCGGATATTTCATTTTTAAACATTAAATATTAATTATACAATTTTTATTCTAAACCCTAATCAATTTCATTTCAAACTGGCAAACATTTTATACCTTTTCTCTCGTCTCTCCGTCTTTTCTCTCTTCATTCTCTTTTCTCCGTCTTCTCACTGCCTCTTCTCTCAATCACCACAGGCGGCGACACAGCAAACGCCGCCCAAACCATAGCAGCGAGCGACGGTGTCATCCCTCGTCTTCTTTCTCCTCACTATCTTATCTTCTCTCCATCACCACCGGAGGTGACACAGTAAACGATTGGGCTAAGTCAATGCAGACACCGAGGCAAACCACATTTCCATAACTGTTAGCCAACTCAGAATAAACCAGTACCAGATCTAGTTTGAACCCACTCATAACGCTTTTGGACATTCCCTCAACCCCCATAGCCTCTGCATGTTGCACAAAATCGTTCATCGGTGCAGGGTTTGCTGATGTGTCATTTGACTCGAATATCTGTTCCCTGATAGCTTGAATTGAGTGACCCGAGTCCGAGTCAACATTGCTGCTGCAGTTTGGCGTGAGCGACGTTGCTGCAACGGTCGTTGTGCAATGCGCATCGCCGCTGTGGCGTCACTACAGTGAATGATGAAGGATCTAAGAAAAAATTGGCTACAATTTGGTGTCAGGGTTTTGTTGGTTGTGTGAATTTTATTGATTGCGATGTGGGGAAAATTTGGGGTGAGTTTTGTTGATTATGTGCAGTTGGTGGTGGTGGCGGCGATGGCGGTGCTCTGAGACGGTGGCGATTTTCATGAGTTTTGTGGTAGTGTTAATTTTTTCTGGGTGATTTTTGTTTGTTGCGTTTGTTGTTGATGGTAGTGTCGATGTCAGTAGTGGTTGCTGGTTGTTGGGTGATCATCGCAGTATCAATGGTGGTGCGGCCGTTGTTGTGGTTTTGATTTGTTGGTTTTTTTGGGCGACGGTGACAACGATTTTGTTGGATATTGTTGGTGGTGGTGGTTTTGGTGGTGGATGTTGGAAGTGGTGGTGTCTGGTAGAATGAGGTAGATAGTGAAATTAAGAGGGTTTGTGACCAATTATTTAAGATTGTGACCATTTAATTTGGGCATTCTGTGACTAAAAAATAACATGTGACCGATAATTGTGATCAATAAATAATATGCAACATAAAAATTTGAATTGTGACTTATGAAATTTGTGATTTGTAATCGATAAATGAATTGTGATTTATAAAATTTTTGATTTGTGGCCAATAAATGAATTTGTAACCAAAAATTTGTATACAATTGCGACCAAGTTATGACTTATAAATTTTTTTATTTGTGACCAATGAACAAATTGTGACTTATAGAATTTCTGAATTGTGACCGTAAAATAATTTGTGACCTATAAAATTTTGAATTGTAACCGTAAAATAATCTCGATTTATAAAATTTCTGATTTGTGACCGATGAACAAATTGTGACATATAAAATTTTTGAATTGTTACTGTAAAATAATTTGTCTTTTCAATTTTTTATTTGTGACTGATGAACAAATTGTGACCTATAAAATTTTTGAATTGTGATCGTAAAATAATTTGTGATATAAAATTTATTATTTGTGATCAATTATATAGAATTTGTGACCAAATTATATAAAATTGTGACCTTAATATATTTAATTAATAAAATATATGTTTAATTAATTATTTTATAAATAAAATTTTAGAAAATCTGAGATTTGAAATTTTAAACCTTGAAAAATCTGAAATTTGAAATTTGAAACATTGATGTCTTAAATTTGAAATGGGTAAAACTAAAACCTCTTAGTGTTGAATTTTTCTTATTAGTTTATGTATGGACCACAGCCCAGTTTATTGTTGCTTGGTCTAGGCTGTGGCCCAATTACAATACATTTTTTAAGTTTAAAGAAATAAAATTCAAAAATTAATGTAATTTAGTTAATTTAATTATTTTTTATAAAATAATTTGATTTAATTAATTTTTCAAGACTTGATTTGGTTTTAAATCAAGCCTAAATGTCCTAAAACTGGAGTTGGAAGTCTCATTTTATATTGATTTTTAAAAAGAAAAATTTATTATAATCAGAAAAATTCATTGTTTGATTGTAGACATGTCATATTCACAAATACTTAATTTATTTTTGGCATTTTGAAATTGACCACACAAAAAGTCCCGAGTAATTTATGTAAATGAAGGTTCTTTTTTTGTAGTTTATAAGCGCAACTCATATAAATAAGTAAAAGTTAGCTCAATAATAAGGTATTTCTCACTTTCTTTGTACACAAAGAAAAGTATTTCAATTTCACGTATTTCAGCTTATTGTTTCTTAACATTTACACAATGTATTTACAACTTGCATTGCTCTTGCTTTGATAAATGGATGTGTATAACACAATACATCACGGATCAACCTGCCTTCACTCAAGCTGCTAGCAAAAAGCTAACCCGAATAATCCATTTGATCATCAGCCTTTATCGATCCAAAGCAGAAAGAAATGGAGTTTGAGATACTCTTCGCCGAGAGCTCACTGGCGAGGTTTGTTGCCTGAGTTCAGACAATCTACTTCTTTCATCAGACATTCTGTTCTGAAAAAGAAAAAAACAAAAACAAAAACAAAATTTGAGTTTAATTAAAACTTATTTATTTACTTAAAAATAAAACTTTTAAACGTAGCCAACCATGCACGGAAGTACATAATCAAGAAACAAATAAGAGATGAAAATAATTTGCTTCTTGTTATTTAGTACGGCAAATTAAAGAGGTAGACAATGCATACATTTACCTTCAGTTTAACATCTTGTAGCTCCATCTCGAGAGAGAGAACCCGATTTTTCAGCTGATCAAGTGCTTCCTCAGCTACAGATGGACTTATCTCAGATGTTGGTCTCCTTATTCCAGCAGCCTGTTTTTACAATTCGAAAAACGAGGTGAGCTAAACCCCACAGCTGTTTTATTTCTAGTTTTTTTGACAAGTAGGATTCAAGTATAATGTCATAAAACATACATAGATAGGCAGTACACGAACTGCATGCTAGAGGGACGATACTGGTACACACAGAAGGCAATGGTTTCTAAAATACGTAAGGCCAACAGTTGCTTTGATATAAAGAATGACTTCCAAAAACTAAGGCCCCCAGATATTGGCGAAAAAACCACAATTATTGTTAACTATAAGAAAAAATATTTGTGGTAAAGACACGGTACACATGGACCAGAAAAATTGTGCTCAAAAGTGCCATATATTTTGTCTGAAAGAATGATCAGAACAAGGTTTTGCTTTATAGGAAAAAAATATATATATACTGTAAGATCCCAGGGGAAAGTTCTCTGACCTTTAGTATGTTAGTACACAAGCCAATTAACTTCTGTGCTAATTGCAGCCTCTCCTCTTCAGTTTCCTGTTTCAGATAAGTTTTGCCGTTAGAGTAGTCAACTCTCTCTCTCTCTCTCTTGTGCTTGCACAGAAGTTTTTTTTTTTTTTTGGCAAATATAATTTCACATTACACACAAACCTTCAATTTATTGTCCAGCCGTTGCTCCTCATCAAAGTTAATATAAGGGTTTAGTCCATTTGATGCACGGAAGCGTGCTACCTCTTCCTTGACACGTGAAAGAAATGCCTCAGTTCTTCGTAGTTTGATGCTAAGATCTTCGTTTTGACACTTCAATAAGCTGTTCTCTTCCTGTAACATGATAAGAGATTCCAGTCAATAATCATAATGCAGAAATGTTAAACAGATCTTTCCAATGACAGGAAAACAAATGGTGTTTTGCGTAAAGAATCTTTATCATTCACTCTTGGAATTGACTTCTCAAGTACACAACACAGGCCATCAATAATCTTAATGCTTTTGGTTGGGGCAAACTATGTTACTTGCCTTGATTTTAGTGTGGTGGTGGATGCGTTGTTGGAGATTTTGATGACCGGACAAATTCTTGACTTCGGCTTCAAGTTCCATCACCCTTTTCTTGTGATTAATGTTGTCCGCCTGAGAGAATTAGAAGATGCTCGTCAAAATCAAAGAGTCCAAAAAGAGTTCTTTCCGCAATCATGTTGGAGGAAAATATACTAAGATCTTTGAAAGCCTCTACCTTTAACATCTCATTTTCAGTTGTGAGCAACTGATCTTTCTGGCTCAATTTTTCCAGGGTAACCTGTGCAGCCAACATTTCAGCCTGTTTTCTCTCAATCTCCTCCAGCCATCTAGAATAAGATTCCATTGCAATTTGGGCATGTCAAGGACTTAAAAAGTTTAGCAACTAAATATCCAATTTAATTATACAGTTGATTACCCTTTCTTCTCGTTAAGAAAGTCGTTTATTTGCTGTTTAAGTTTAACTACTTCCTGTTCCTGCAAGCATGAAATAGTCCATATCAGATGTATATTCCAACTCATAATCACAGTTATTGAAGAAATATGTACCTAAATTGAGGGAAAATAAGGAGTACCTTAACTTTAGCTTCAACGTTATGATGTTGAGACTCCTCAATTAATGTGTGAAGCTGCTGATTATCCATTAAAGTCTAGCAATGACAAAGAAATTGAGAATGTCATGCACGCTCACACCTGAATTCACTCAGAATTTAAATTTTCCATGGGTAAATGACGCAGGATGCTATGGAACTATTATAGGAAAACGGAAAGGGAAGAGAAGAAGCGAAAGAAAAGGAGACAAGAAGAGAAGAGACGAGGGCAAAGGAAATCGATTTTTATTCATATAATCTGGTTCTTTTATTACAAAGCATAAGACCTTTTTATACAGGGTTTCAATTATTATATTTTAAGTGGAAATACATAATGAAAGCTATTAAAACAAACTCTAATTATGTTTTCTAAAATATGAATCAAAATATAGTAGTATCTCAGAACACACTTTCAACTATAAACAATGAGATTAAAACATAGGTCTCAGTTTGCAACTTACCGCATAACTGTTCATGTTCAATTTTACACCTAGTAAATCCCGAATTACATCATGGGTCATGCTTTCAGTGGCAGCTAATCTAGCCTTCAGCGAGAATATCTGCAATAGAATGTGAGCCTAGTCGATAAAAATATTTACTTTAGTGGTATCCAGCATTCATTCGTGAAAGCTACCTCTTTTTGTCTGCTTGCAGCTATGGCTTCAAGTTCTTCTACACGTTGTCTTCCTGCACTAAGCTCCTCATCTCTGTCAGACTTTATTTGTTGAACTAAGCCCAATCCAATACATTTGAAAGGGGAACCTCCTCCCCTAGACTTTGAAGAATTTTTTTCCAATTTGTTGATTGATGAAGTTCCATGAGCAGGGACTTCTGATTTGATTTGTTCTAACATGGCTTCCAATGATTTGAACTGTCAGAAAATTGGCAGTTAATGCTGTTTAGTCGGAGGTTGATCCCTATATGTTTTACAATGTAATTTACTGTGATGCCTATAGGGAAAAAAAGTTATTTATTTTGAAAGTAACTCTTGCTTTTAATGTCAAAATAAGCAACTTAATTCCAACTTTGACTAATAAATTTATTTTCATACTTCTTCACTTACAAGTAATCTTTTTAAGATAAATAAAAAATGCTCTTAGTCCCACCTTTTGCTTGTATTCACAAGCCTGTGCCTCGGCATGCAAATTTAGCTCAGATATATGATCTTTACATTGGGCTATCTGTTGAAGAAAGACAAGAAAATGAATAATAATGCTGAAAGAGAGTATTTGACTGAAAACAACCGACAATGACTACCGTGAGAAAGTTCATAGAAATCCATCCAATGAGAAAAACTTTACCTCTCCATCTATGGCAGCTATTTCTCTTTCAAGAATTTGTACTCGTTGAAGAGCTTCTTGAAGGTTCTTCTCCTTTTCATCCAGTTGTCTGAAGTCAAAAACTTATGAGTACCAAGACATTTGTAAGCAGTTATCTAATATACCTACTTCAATGGAATAATTAATTGAAACCTTTTTAAATCAGAATCATTGCTTTCGACATTTTGCATTTGTTGCTTAACAGCGTGAAGTTCCAGTTCCAGTTCCTCTCTCTCCAATCGCTGGCGTTCAGCTTCTCCTTTGACAATGCCAACCTTAGAAAGCAAAAATCTTGTCAAAGAAACGACAAAGGATGGTATTCATGTATGGATCTATCCATCTAGGAAGAGGGATACCTTTTGTTCAAGTACATCCACAGTACATTCTAGCTCCTCAATGGACCGCTCTAATAGTTTCACTTCCTCGTCCTTCTCCTCAGCATGGATTTTTCTAGTTTCTGCAATCTGTCATAACGAAATAGACATTAAAGGGACCTATCATTTAATTCAGTACATAATTAGCTGAAAAAGTTTCCCGCCAAGACAACATTACCTCTTGTGCTTCTACAGAGATTGCTCTGTTTTCATCAGCAACTGCTCGTGCCATCTCAAGCTCTTCAGTCAAATTAAGGACTTCGTTGTGAAGATCATCCCTCTGACTGGTGACAGTATCCAAATTTTTCTTCAAGAATTCAGATGCCTTGTTCATTTCAGCAAGAGCAGCCTCCATTTCAGTAATTTCTATTCTCAAGTTCTCGTTTATGGTACTTCTCTGTATCAATCTCTTCTCCATGGACATTTTTGCTTCTAACGCTTCTTTAAAATTGGCCACCAACTCTTCGTTTTTGCAGGATAATGAATTTATAGTTTCGCGCTCTTTCACAATATCCATGTCAAGAGCAGATATTATTGCTACCTTCTCTTGCAGTTGAGTTTCAAGTTTTTGACCATCAGCAACAGCTTGGTCAAGTTCACTAGATTTTTTATCAAAATCTTTTTCCAAGGCACTTAGAGAGGCCAAAAGTTCTTCAATTTCATCCTTTTGATCCTTACTATTAGATGCAGACTCCTGCAGCAAGCTCAAATCAAATAACAGCCCCTTGAGAATATCATCCTTCCTGGACAACTCAATTTCAAGAGAGGAAGTATGAGATTTCAGCTCTGTCACAATATTCTCCAAGTTTTCAAACTCTTCCAAAAATTTGGAAGCCCTCTCCACTTCCTTAACGATATTTTGGAACATATCCTCTATAACCAAAACCTTCTCAATAGTTAAATTTAGTATCTTGTCACCAATAGTATCAACGGTTTTCATCAAATCAACATTCTTCACAATGTTGGAGCTCAAAGCATTGAGGCATTCATACTCATTATTCTCACGAGCTCCAAGTTTATTTCTCAAGAAAGCATTCTCTTCATTCAAACCCTGAATTTTTGAAGACATCTCATCTTTGACTACAGATTGAGAATGTTGAAGGGTTTCCAATTCTTTCCTTGTAAGGTTTAGATCTTCATTTAACTTGACAATGTGATTCTGCAACGACAAAATGTTTTCTCTCAATCTATGATTTTCTACATCAAGATCATTAGTACCTTTTAGATATGATTCAAACTCGGCTTTCTTATCCTCCAAATCCTGGAGAAGTCCGCAGTGCTCTGCCTTTGCCTTTGTTAAATCATCCTGCAGGGCCTCATTTTCCTTTTCAAGGCAGCTCATTTTTTTAAGTTCTTCATCTTTCAATTCTGCCTCGTGCTGAAGCCTGCACAATTCAGTTTCCAGTAAACAGATGTCATTTTGCAATACCTGTTTTTGTTGATAAAGCTCAGAGATATTACTCGAAGAAGTTTCAAGAGCTGCTTCCTTCACCTCAACGTCTTTTAATAACTTTGCTTGCTGTGATTCAAGATTTTGAACCTGGGGCAAGAGGGTTCTCTTTGCTTCCACCAATTCTTCTTTTAATGACAGAATATCTTGCTTAAGAGCTTTGTTTACAGTGTCCATCCGGGCAATTGTTAAAAACCTTTCGTCAAGCTCTGACAACAATTTCTGCTGCTTCTGAGTTATTTTTTCAACTTCTTTTTGCAGGAAAGCCTGCTCAATTTCCTTCTCCTTCAATATCAACTCATGTGAAGCAGCATTCATGCTCTGGAAAATTATACCTTTCTTGAAGTTTTCAAGGACTTCAAAGAAACTGATTTCTGCGCTCTCGGCATCAGCTTTTAGGAGCGCCAGCTGCTTTAATTCAGATGACATGATTAAAAATTCAAAATCTTTTGCAGACAATTCCATCATGAAATTCTCTTCCTGATATTCAAGAAGTTTGTCTTTATCCTTTAGTAGTCTTTCTTGATCCAGAAGAGATGCTAATACATTCGAGTTACTCAGATCGAGCTCCTTCATCAGGACAGAAAGTTCAGATCCCATATGATTTGACCGTTGCAACATTAACTCTTCTTGTAAATGCAGATCTCGTATCTTCTTCTCAAAAGAGGCGAGCTTTATGGTGAGCTCCCCAGATTCGTCTACTTTGCTTGATATACTATCAAAACCTTTCTTAATATCTGCCAATAACTTCCCCTTGAGTATTCTACACATTTCAAGCTCTCTCTGTGATCTAAGATTATGCTCCCGGAGTTCAGAAAATTTGGAATTTGATTCGAATATACCACGGTGAAGAAGACCATTTTCTGCATTGAGCCCATTTGATGTTTCTAAGAGAATTCCCATGTGACAAAGATGCAGAACAGACATGGAAAAATCCTTAACGATAATCTCAGACCATACTTCCTCAAGAGACGACCTGATCAATCTCGTTGACTCGCAAAGTTGGGAATTCATGCCTAGGAAATCTGATGCTATAGCCTTGCAGTCTTCAATGGAAGTAGTTTGGACCTGTGAAACAAGTTCTTCTAGTTCCAATACCAGGCTCTTCATATCCACAATATCTGATTCATACTGCTGCTCAAATTTCTCATAATGCTGAACTTTCAGATTATTGGAGGACTGCAAGTTCTGAACTTCTATGGTAAGGAAATCTCTTTCATTGATCAAGGTGTTCTCATTTTCCTTCAGCTCATGGATGTTAAGCTTCAAGGTTTCATTAGCTATCATCAGCTCATTTATCATTATGTCTGCTTCTTTCATGGTTTCTTGAACCTCTTCAAATTTCTCAAGAACACAAGAAGCTTCAATGGATTTCCGGGCAGCAACTGTCTTGGCATCACCAAGTTCAGCCTCAAGTAACTGCAGAAAATGGAGAGTTGGTAGTATTACAACACATGATTGTGGAACTGGTGGCAAACGAATTGTATGCGTATAACTGTATTTTTCTCTTGTTATAATTGTAGTTATTGAAGATACACTTGGTTAAATGCCAGGAAAGAGGAAATGTAATGTTGAAAGTATAACAAGGGAAATTGGAAAAGAAAACTGAAGTTCAGGTATGAAGATGGAGCATTAAAGCAAACTGCATAGGTAATTTCCAATATAAAATGTTACAAAAATAATATCCTACCTGTTTAAGATGGAACCAGGAAGTGAAAGATTCTTGTACGATTTCTTCTACTCCCCTTAGTTTGCCATCCAAAGCAGCAATTTTTAGCTCAAGATTCACTTCAAAATTATATATAGAACTTTGTAGCACAAATACTTGATTCATCAATGATTCAATGCTCTTCTTGTGACGTTTTTCAGACATCCAGACACCTTCTTTCTCATGATGTAATTTGGCCATCTCGGCTTGCAATCCTTGAATGCTTTGAAGAGCAGATTCTATCTCTTCCTTTAGAAGAGTAGTGCTAGCATCTTTACCATTCACATCCTTCAAAGTTTGTTCACATGCCGAACTATTACAATCAAACATGCATTCATCCATATGGTTTGCAGTGAAAGAACATTTTGAAGTCTCATTACTCGCATCCTCAAGAACACACGATTCTACATGGCTAGTGTCCTGTTCTGTTCCTTTACCAGACTGCAATAATACCAAAATAATAATATATAAAAACACAATAATGTATTTATAACAAAATAAGTTGCCTGGAATATACAGGGTACAGTTTGAGAAATAGAAACATAAGCTTACCCACGTTTGACATTTGTCGCCAGCAGGAAAACAATATGAACTTTCTAAAGCATTATCTTCACCAGAACCTCCAATCTGCTCCAGATACCCATTCATGCATAATTTCAGTGTTGAAACTCCAGATTTTATCTGCCTGAGTTTTTCCATGGCTTCCAAGATGTTATTTTCTTCAGTTTCTTCAAGTTTCCTCCAAAGAGCCTTAGCATGTATCTGTTCCTCGGATAGCTGCAGTTTTAGTCTGGCAGAGCATTCTTCTAATGATTTCATTTCCAATCTGAGGATCTCATTCTGTTCTTCTGCCTCATCAGTTCTTGATGACTGATTGTGGATAATGGCGTCTTTTTGAATAATCACTTCTGCAGCTTGTCTAAGCTGCATGTCCTTATTATTTAAAGCATTCACATGGTTAGAATTTAACTCAAACAACCGGTTCATAATCACAAAAGCGGCTGTTGCACAGCATGATGCATTTCTAAGTTGATCCTCTCCATGTTTGATTTTGCTCTCCAGCTCTTCAATAACAGAAGTCTTGGCATTTAATTTGGATGTTAAAAGGAGAATCTCTTTGTCCTTTTCACTGCATTCTTGCTGGTGCGTCTCAGTCATTACCAATGCTGCCCCTCTCAATGACCTTAGCATGCATTCCATATCGTTTCTCTTATTCATCGCATCTTTTAAGCATTGATTGAGCTCTTCAATTAATACTTCTTTTTCAAGAAAATAAGTTTTCATCCTCCCAATTTGTTCAGAGATCAAATTTCTTTTCTGAGGGAATGAACTGGAAATATCATCAAGCTGGTCAGAGATGTCTTTGAGAGACTCATGCCCGCCAGTAAGAGCACCTTCAATCTCATTGGTCAATCGTTCCCATTCTTCTGACATGTTTCTTAATTGATTTTCTTTGTGTTCTAGCATTTGAGCTAATCTTGTGTTCTCTTGAGTCGTCGCACATAAATTCTCCTCCAGATCTTTCATCTCAGCTTGAAATAGAACCAACTTCTCCCTGGTATCCATCTCTTTCAAGCTACTATCTTGGACTTCCTGTTGAAGAACAGCAAGTTCTTCTTGCAAGCAAATAATCACCTCAGCAGTTTCTGCCTCGACCTGCTTGCTGACTTCATCCCTTTCTTCTTCTTTAGATGCTTGAAACGAATGATCACTTTGATACCACTGATTCAATCTCTTGGCCTTTTCAAGAGAATCGTGCATTTTCTTCAACTTTGCTTCTATAGGAGAATCATTACTTTCGGATAGATTAAAGGATGAAATATCTCTAAACTCTTGAGCATGAATATGCTCCTTTAAAGAAGAGATTTCAAGCTTATGTTTATGCAATATTTCAGCATAGTTGCTGTCAGAGTTACGGAGCTCCTCTATCTCATTCATCATTAGAAATTGCTGAGACTCAAGAACTTCAATAAGAAATTTTGCTTTCTTGAGTTCTTCTTGGACGTCTTCACAATTTTGAGTAATAGACATAATAATTTCCTTTGACGACTGAAGTTCTCTGTTCAAAGATTGTGCCATTTCCTCTGCTTTAAAAGAGTTTGACTTCTCTTCTTTAAGAATAATTTTCAAAATGTCCAACTCTAGTTGCAAACCCACAATGTCTTCTTTGTGCGTCATAAAATTTCCGTACCTAGTTTGGCCTTTCTCTTGCTCCTTGGCCAATATTATCTGCTCGTTGAAAATTGAAACTTCCTTTATTGATTCCTGAAAGGAATAGCCATAATCAATTTCAAGAAAATAGTTCTAAGAAGAAATTAGAGACAGCCAGGGAAGTTTAGTTGCCAGATATATTTGCACAAACCTTCTAGTAAGCAAAATAATAATAATCATGAAATGCATCATTATATGTATAATCATCACAAAAGAAATTCTAATGTGCTGTCCTTTTATGACAGCAATTAGAGATTTTTTTTTTAAAAAAAAAAATGACCTTATTATCAAATTTATGGAAAATACTGGAGAAAGTTGGTGTCTCGAAACTTGAATACTTCGATAATAAAATCATGCTAGGAAGTATAAATTTTGCTCTTTCTTATCCTCCTCTCTGAAGTAAAAGTTAATGGTACCTTCATGAATTCAGGTCTGGAGTCATGCTCATGAGTTGCAGATCCAATGGTATTCAATGATGTATTTAACTTGTCAATCTCCCTGAACAAGATTAGCACGAACAAAAGTTACAGCCAGGAATAGACAAAGGAAATATTGCAATACAAACAAAACCTAAAAACATGTAAATGATTTAGACTTCTTACCCTCTGAGCTTTGCATTGTTTTCTAAAGTACAGTTTAGCCTACTCCGGGTTTCCTCTAATTCACTCATAGTCCTCTTCAACTGTAAAAGAGATTTACGATTAGAAGTCAAGGTCGGGAAAATAAATCTTACAGCATACAATATTTTCAGTGACATCCAACCTCCTCATGGAGTGAATTGTTTTCCTCATTGGTATGAACAGCAACCTGTATCAATGGAAACTAAGATATATAAGGCTTTTGCAAAATCAGTGAACCTGAATCTTCTTTCCCAGAATAGCAATAAAAAACAGTGAGCAAGATCTCTTTAAAGAATTTACATGAGAAGCTATATTTGTGCCTTGATGGCTTTGCTGCTTCGAATTTCCATCAAGGAAGAGAATTAGCTGCCGAAGGGAGAAATTCTGGGTCAAAGGCATGAACTAATTTGAGACGCAGAAAAAAGATACGGACTATTGGATGGTTAGGATACCTGATTCCGCAGTTCAGATACTTCAGCCAATAACATCTCTCTCTCCCCTTCTTCATAGAAGTCTTGAAATCTATAAGTTCCAACATGAATATTTTTAAAATAAAATAAAGAACTCATGACTAAAGCCAACCCGGCAAGCTGAATAAAATTGCATTTGTTTGAAAAAACTACCGTCTAACTTGCTCTAAAAGCCTAATATTTTCAAGGGCAAAGCGAGTCACTTCCGGATTCCTATCAACTCTTGCACGCAGCAGCTGGATTTCTTCTGAAAAATCCCTGTTCTCTTCCAGCAAATAAGCATCTGCTGATGTCAAGCCACCAAGAAGAGATTCCATTCTTTGAATTTTGTCTTCTCTAAATTTCAACATCATTTTTGTGCACCTGGTGTCCTCTTCTCTTTGACTAACCTGAAAAGCAATGCCACCATGAAATCTAGCTTTCGAAAGAGCTGAACACAAATGACAAAACAAATTCTTCATTTATTTCCAGCGATACCTGTCTCACCATAAAAGAGAGTGAGAGAGAGAAGAGAGAGTTACCAGACGGTTCAAGTGCTCGATTTCAGCTTCAAGCCGTTTAATAGAAGTATCTGCCATCTGTTCTCTCCTTAGTGCACCAGCAAGTGTAGCTTCCAGTGATTTTAACTATGAAATCACCGGCAAAAGGAGAAAACAGAAAACCAGCAGGTAACATGTCAAAACCTTTTCTCTTAAAGAAAACACATCTGAATAATGAGATAAAAAGGACGTCAGAGGCATAGATCAACTTTGAATTTGTCCGTTGCGATTCTATCTCTTTTGCCTTGACATATTTAATGAATTAAACTTAGATTAATTGACCATGTTATTGAATTGAGTATTCTCAGATATTTCAAGATTGAAGGCTAAATTAGATGCGCATATGTTAATTATCAATTGACTCAAACTGCCTGCCATTTGCTTTCAACCATTAGCAGCAATTATCCAGTGATGGAATCAGCTGGCTGAAGAAAAAATAAAGAGGCAAATTACAACTTGATATACCTGTTTACTTGACATTCTGAGAACAACTTTAGATGCTTTTCCAAGTAAATTACCCTGGTGATCCGGTTCATCAGGTGTCCTTTCACTACAACCATCTTCATCCTTGTTCCTTGCATCTCTGTTTATTGCTGGACCAAAGAATAATGATCGAGAAACCTTTTCATGTTTGAGAACAGAAAGCTCTTCCTATTACAACAACAAATCACGAGTTTCTATTGTAAATTATTTTTGTGAGCAATTTGTACAATGTAAGAGCCATATGAAACTAGCTACCACCTTTAGCAAACGTATTTGATGTTGCAGAGCAACAACATCTTTTGATGAATCTTCATTGATGACAGCCTTTGTCATGAAAAAAATGAAAAAAAGGCAGGTTAATATATCCAGTATCCATTTTGTTATCAATTTAAAAGGCCAATGTATCATCAAGCATAAACAAGCTTACATTATTCTGAATAAGTTTTGCTCGTTGAGCAAACTTTAAAGTGTTCAGTGTTTCTGCTGCACAGCTGAGGAAATTATATTTAGTATTTTCATTAGTCGACAACACAGAAAAAATAAGATAAAGCTTAAAATTTGCAAAAATAGAAAAAAGTTCCCCTATACGTAGAATCACATCAACATACCAGATAGATGGGCTGACGTTGGCTATCATCATTGTTTTTGAATTTCCACCCAAAGAATCCTGTATTACATTTTTCGAACATAACGATATGATCTTTATAGGTCTGGGAAAAATACAAAAATCAATGGTTAATAATGCACCTGAAGAAGAAATGTCAGCCTTGAATCTCTATAAGGAACATGCCTTGGTCTCCCATGTGCTACATCCACTAGGACCATTATTACATGACTACAAAAGCAAGACCTATGTTCACTTGCAATATCACCTTAAGAAAGAAAACAGAAGGCTCGTCAATGATGTGAAATAACAGTAATACCCTAGCGTTGATAGTGATTTATTGATGCTTGCAGCTTCCTTTAGACGCTCGCCCTCGGCACCAGAAGTCTTTTGCCTGATAGGGATAATAGCAATATAAATGATGTTATAGCATGTGATTTCCCATCTATTTGAGAAATTAACTTGAAGAATGATGTAAACCTTTCAGAACCGGCAAGGTCAACAAGGTTCAGCCGAGCAAATCGAAAGTTCGAAGTCGAATCCTTTTCCCATCTACTCTCAATCACACATGTAAAAACACTATGGGAGCGACTGCTTTCTCTGTTCATATTTGTCGTGGCAACTTTCCTATTTGCAGAACCCTAAAAGTAAAACCCCTTTTTTTAATGCTAGAGACAAACATTGTGCATGCACACATGCATCTGAGAAGAATGTGACAATCAGAGTAAACCAAAAGAGGAAAAAGAGTGAAAATAGTCACCTGACTCAGAAGCTGAAGAATGTCGCCTACAGTTTGGACCTCGAATTCGGATAGATTTTCAACATAAACGCCCTTTTTGATGTCCTCGCGTAACTATGAATAGAGATGATAAATACGAGGAAACAACATTTACCAATTGAGGCACCACATTATCCTATCAGAAATGTATAAGTACCATCAAATTTGTAGAAGAAGGATCAAGAAGATCAGTTATTTGTTCATTATAGATCTCCAGGAAAGAACATTTGCAATTGTATTTTAGCCGTTCATCTCTTCGTATTTCCTCCTCCTGAAAAATAAAGCACATGACAAAAGTGTCTTGTTGCAATGAAAATGTTTATATTAGAAGGTGACTTGGCAAAAGCAGGCAAAGAGAGTTGAACTTACAGCTCTAATTCTTGCAAACAAGAATTCGAATATGCGCGGGGTCATTCCACGATTTGGACTAGGAGTGCCTTCTAGCTCTTCAATCCCACCAAGCATTGTGTAAGTCTTCCCACTACCTGTCTGCATTATTAGTCCATTTTAATAGATGATATGTAGTTGATGTGTAAACTCAAGAAAGCGAGGTCCCTAACAATGCTTAAGTGATGGTACCTATCATTTTATGAAGACATTCGAGGAAGAAAAACCTAGACTATTGCTTAAGCTAGTAAACAGAAACACACGAGAAAATTAAATAGAGTCGAAGTAAATAGGAATTTCAGACGCAAGAATGACAAAATCAAGATGAAGGAACTCCGGCCATTGCTTGTACTATTAGCTATCTACATAGACCGAATCAAGACTATCTTCATGCAGATTATACTAAAACAGGTAGCTGGAAATTAGAGATCTTGGAAAATAACAAACACCCAGTGTGCACTAGAGGAAAAAGAATGAAAGATAAATAAGTTCGTCTCTCAGGTCATAGATCCAATATCATCCTTGATTCATCAAAAAAAATTAACTATGACTACAAATGTAAAAAAGAGGCTCCTTTATATGTGAACAAAAATCTGCAAAACCAAATGTTTGAACGCATTTGTGGTATTTTGTCAGAAATTTTGCATCAGCCACAAATACCCAACTTGTCATTGCGTAAAATAATTATGAAAACAAGTCTAATATATTACCTGTCCATATGCAAACATACAGCTATTATACCCTGACAAGCAATTCTCCACCATGGGCAAGCCAACCATTCTAAAAAGTGTCTCCTGCAAATTCACCACGAAGTATAGAAGCATAAATAATATTTTTAGTGCAACACGTTTTGCAAATCGAAGAGTGTGTTTGTTCTCTATGGACCTGGTCTATATTTTCACATGCTACATGATCAAACATAAATGGGGTCTCGGGCTGCCCTATCCAGGTGATGCATTGTGCACTCTCCTGCTTCAAGCATCTACTGTAACCATATGTACCTTTCTCCATGTTATTGAGAGGACGCACTCGTATCAACACCTGTAAAAGATATTATTAAATTAACATAATAAATATAAAGAAGTTGACATATAGAGAACAATGCAATTCTAAATATTCCTAGATAAATTGAAAGGAATTTAAGGAGGAGGAGGATGCAATTTGCAGAAAAGAAGATTACTTGGACATTGTGTTCCATCCAGAAAGATGGATCTTCCTTGAGTTCAAAATGGGGCACCTCTATCGTATTAACAACAGTGGCAGAATTACAAGAACTTGGAATCCCTTTAGATAGTGCGGCAAAGTTGGCCATCCTAGCAGCCCCACTGGCCAGAGGCCTAGAACCACTGGCTAGACAGAGGCCATGATTTGGAGGCTTGCTTACACTCTTAGTGGGCGTGCTTTGAGTCGAATTACACTCTGAATAACTTGAAGTGGCCCTTCCCACCATCCTAGTAGACCGTGGGGTATTCATATTCTCCACCGCCCTTCCCTCCTCCCTCAACTCAACGGCACTAGAACTCGAATAATAGTCACTCTTCTGGGCCCAACCAAAGTGATTTTTTGACACGGGCCCTTGTTTGTCTGGAGTGGAATGCAGCATTGTTGAATCTGACTTCTTAGACTTTGGCTTATTGGGGGTTCTATCAGTTTTATTAACCTTAACAACACTCAATTTTTGATCTATACCACCTTTAGAATTCTGGATTGGTTCTTGAATTGCATATAGAGGGGGCCTAGGAGAATCCTTGATAATCTGAGGACCCAGAGAGTCCCTGGGATTTATGGGGACATTCTCGATTTCCTCTGCGTTGGGATTCTTGCCGGAATTTCGGCGCAAAGATTTGAAATCCCTCAACATTCTGTAACCCCCGGAAATTAAAACAGAAATTATAAAAAGAAGAATGGGATATTTCAATAATTCTTAATTTCTTGGAGGTATACCTGTAAGAGGAAACGAAGAAAAGAGCTCCAAAACTACGAAATCCTGAAATTTTTTCTCACTTATGCAGAATGAAAGAGCTCGTATTCAGCTGGTTCCTTGGTGTTATTCAGCTAAATCTTGAACCAAAAGTTATTTCCATTTTTCTCTCAAGATTTCACCTGGATTCTTCGATGCTGAAGAAGAACAAGGGTCCCTCTCTTCCTCCTAAGTCCTATCGAGTAATGTGACAGTCTCAAAATTGTGAGTAAAAAGTATGGCGGGGCTCAAGATAGACGGCTCAGATGAGATCTAGAATTTGAAATTAGGGAGCATGGCGCTATGGGATTTTGAATTGGTTGAGAGTATTTCCAAAGAAATGATGTAATGAATAATAATTAATGTTAACCCTTAAAACGGCTATAATTTTGAATTATGTTAATGTTGGGCCCATGTATATTAACACAAAAGTCCTATGGTGGCAAAATTTAGCCATCTTTGATGACCATTATAAAAGAGAAATTGAAAAAAAAATTAATGTTTTGAATATTATTTTTTGTAGAATGTGTGGTTAAAAAGTAAGAAAATACTTTAGATCTACGTACAAAATATTTTATAGTGTGAGTGTGTCCTTCTCTCTTTCTCATTCTCTCTCTCTACCACCCATCCAACCCCCAGTCTCTACCATACTTCTCCCGCACTGCTGCTCGTGGCGGAGCAATCCCAAACCCGATTCATTCTCTTCCTTTTCTATATTCTCTCTCTCTCTCTACCACCCACTCCTCCACCAGTGTATACTATCACTTGCGGCATCGCTACGTGCGTCGGCTCTGCCCCCCGCTAGCAGCGGTACAACAAGGCGCCATACTGCTGTGAGCAGTGGCGCTTTAATTCACTACCGTCGACAGATGTTTTCAACTGGAGCATTGATTATTCCAGATCAACTAAAGACGAGGATGAAGAGGGGGCTGCTAGATCTGCTGCTATTAACCAGGAAATAAAGTGTGCTTTTGAATGTTATTGGTGAACTGTGGCTGAGGATGCTAGTGAAAAGGCTACTGCTTGTGCTGCAAGAAGTCTTCGGCGAAGAAGCCATCTTTAGATAGTGGAATCTAAAATTGCCAAGGAAAAACTGTGATGAAATTGAAGGAGATGATATGATAATTGCTACCATTTTTGTTAAAGAAACATTAGATTTTTGCAATACTTTAAATTTCTTATTCTGATTGCTCAATAACTTGCTTTCATGGGACCCAACTTATTGTAGTAATGATATCTATGCCCATTGTTTTCAAAAGTTCGTTTCAGAGTTATGCCTTGAGGTAAGAATGTAAAGAAAAAGGTTGCGATAAAAATGGAATTATAGTATAAGATTAGAGACAAAATGTTCTAGTGCTGGATCGATAGAGCTCTTATCCTTGGGATTCTCTGTCGGTGGAGTTTATTTAATTTTTGAAATTAAACAAGCTCATCCACTTCCTGGTAACAGTATCAAGGTCGAGATGGTGATGGTTGTCGGTGCAAGGATGACTGGATTGATGTGGTGGTGGTGGAGGCGTAGTCGGCGTCGCTACAAAGTAAGAAGGCTGTAACCGAAGTTGGTGGTGTCGACAAACATTTTCTGATCTATGACCAGATCGTGATTTGTAGTTCGTTGTGACTATTTGTGACTAGTTAATTGTGACTCGTTGTAGTAAGAAAATACTTTAGATCTACGTGCAAAATATTTTATAGTGTGAGTGTAATTAAAAATAAATATGAGTATTAAAATAAGTCGAACAGAGGTATACCAAATGAGCATTTAAATTAGGAAAAATTACCTCTAAACCTGCATTTAATGATTACATTTCAAAAAATAGGGGATTAAGTTTTATTTTTACAAATCAGGTGGTAAATAGAATTATTAATTGTAATTAATAAAAATTTAATCAATCATTCTTCCCCAAACCCGATTCATTTTCTTCCTTCTCTCTCTCTCATTCTCTCTCTCTACCACACATCCAACCCCCAGTCTCTACCATACCTTTCCCGCACTGCTGCTCGTGGCGGAGCAATCCCAAACCCGATTCATTCTCTTCCTTTTCTATATCCTCTCTCTCTCTCTCTCTCTACCACCCACTCCTCCCCAGTGTATACTATCACTTGCGGCATCGCTACGTGCGTCGGCTCTGCCCCCCGCTAGCAGCGGCACAACAGGCGCCATACTACTGTGAGCAATGGCGCTTTAATTCACTACCATCGACCGGTGTTTTCAACTGGAGCATTGATTATTCCAGATCAACTAAAGAGGAGGCTGCTAGATCTGCTGCTATTAACTAGGAAATAAAGTGTGCTTTTGAATGTTATTGGTGAACTTTGGCCGAGGATGCTAGTTAAAAGGCTACTGCTTGTGCTGCAAGAAGTCTTCGGCGAAGAAGACATCTTTAGATAGTGGAATCTAAAATTGCCAAGGAAAAATTGTGATGAAATTGAAGGAGATGATATGATAATTGCTACCATTTTTGTTAAAGAAACATTAGATTTTTGCAATACTTTAAATTTCTTATTCTGATGGCTCAACAACTTGCTTTCATAGGACCCAACTTATTGTAGTAATGATATCTATGCCCATTGTTTTCAAAAGTTGTTTCAGAGTTATGCATTGAGGTAAGAATGTAAAGAAAAAGGTTGCGATAAAATGGAATTATAGTATAAGATTAGAGACAAAATGTTCTAGTGCTGGATCGGTAGAGCTCTTATCCTTGGGATTCTCGGAGTTTATTTAATTTTTGAAATTAATCAAGCTCATCAACTTTCTGGAAACAGCATCAAGGTCGAGATGGTGATGGTTGTGGGTGCAAGGATGACTGGATTGATGTGGTGGTGGTGGAGGCGTAGTCGGCGCCGCAACAGAGTAAGAAGGCTGCAATCGGAGTTGGTGGTGTCGGCAAACCTTTTCTGATCTATGACCAGATCGTGATTTGTAGTTCATTGTGACTGTTTGTGACCGATTGTGACCGTTTGTGATTGGTTAATTGTGACTCGTTGTGACCAATTGTGACCATTTTTTACTTGAAATTCTAGAAATTTTTTAGAAGTTGGGAATGGGTGGATGGGGTGGGTAGATTGATCAGAGCATGCGTTGGAGTGGTTATTGAGCAGTTTTCCAGAGAGATCGTGAATAGCTACCGAGGAGAGCGTCGAGGTGATCGTAGGACTAGTCGTCAGAGCGGCCGCCGAAACTGTCATCGGAGCGGCCGCCAGAGATATTGCCGGAACTGTCGCTGGAGCGGCCGCCAGAGTAGATGGCCGCCTCCCATGGAGAGAAGGGGAAGGGAGAGAATAGAGAGTAGAAAGAGAGAATGATTTGGATTTGAAATTTAATAAATTGGGTTAATTGTATTATATTATAATTAAAAATATTTAATTAATTGATTTAACACCTGATTTTTGAAAAAAAATTTGAAATTTATTATTTTTGAAATGTAATTCTTATATATATGATTTATGTATTGTTCCCTTTAAATTAAGCCCTTGTTTGGTGGTCATTATTTGAGAAAAATATTATTTTGAATAGTGAATTTTTAGAGAGTATGTGGTTAAAAAGTAGGAAAAAATTTAAGTTTACATATAGAACCATTTTTTTGAAAAAAATATTGTTTTGAATAGTGAATTTTTGAAGAATGTGTGATTAAAAAGTAGGAAAAAATTTTGAGTTTACATACATAATATTTTAGCCCCCATGTTTGGTGGCCATTTATTTGAAAAAATATTGTTTTGAATAGTGAATTTTTGGAAAATGTGTAATTAAAAATTAACGGTGATGCTACTTGTACATCAAGGTATACATAGGGGGTTACACCCCCTCACATGAGGGTTGGGACCCACTCGAACAAAAAATATTATTAAGTGGGTTCCACCCCCCATGTGAGGGGGGTGTAACCCCTTATGTACATGTCTTGATGTACAAGTAGACTAATTCAAAAATTAATGAAAAGTTTTAGATTTACATGTATAATATTTTATTTCATGAATGTGTGGTTGAAAAGTAGTATGTAAAAAAAAAGAGTTTTGCAAAAATTGAGAAACAAGCAGGGGTTTATTCACTTATTGTGTGAATATGTGATTGAAAACAAGTATATAAAAAAGAGTTTTGAAAAAAAAAAAACCCATCAAACAGGGACTAAGAATATGTTCGATTTATACATTTCATAAGACTTACAAGTACTATCACTTTTTCACCATTTCTTTGTATTTACAAACAATATGATTTATAAACTCTTCTCAAGCCCCTATTTGATTCTCATTATTTATAAAATACATTTTTCTCTCTTCTTTTCAACCACACATTTTTACATAAAATAATATTACACGCAAATTCAAAACTTTACCTTATTTTTTAACTACACATTCTATATCTATCATTATTAAAAAATACATTCTTTGCCAAATAGTGAAGTTCAAACAAGCCCCAAATATAACTTACAATGTAGTAATAATCAGTTTGAAGTCATTTTGGTAAAGGTCAAAGATCAAGGTTAATTGTATTTGCACTACAACTTTAACTTTTTGCATCGTGTCTTAATTGTACGTAAGATTTTCAATCTCCGTTCGTTTTAGCATTTATATTTTTTTTTTTGGTTGCATCCTTATTGTCAAACTTCTATTAATTAGACCATGTCATCTTCTAATAACTTTTTTTTGTCTAAAAATTATGATAAGAGGGTGTAAAAAGATTCATTTACTCTTAGTATTCTAAACTAAGCAAAAGAACAATCAAATACAAAAATACGATTAAATATTTTTTTTCCCTTATTTTAAAGCAAGGTAATTGAATATTTGGATAAAAACGTCATCAAGGAATATATGCGATAATTAATAGAATATTGAGGATAAAAGTACAATGAAAAGTATGTAACAAGTAAAGGTCAAAAACCTTCAATGTAACTAAAATGTGATGC